GTCTAACACGCACTTAGCTCATTCTTCCCTTCCCTACTGTCTGCCTCTCCGCTTACTCAGATCATAAATAATTTGGGGACAAATTTATCCTTGCATCAGATAAAGAACAAGCTGATGCAGGTACTGACTGGAGCATCTTAGGTCCCTTCTAATACAGTACTGTGTTTTATCGCTGATTCTGTAGGGCTTTTTAATTCTTCACTGTAAACAGTTTCACCTTCTTTAACTAAAACGAATGAATCTGAACTGTGTTTATACCACTTAGTGCAATGATACTTAAAAAAGGTCTGCTTAAAGGTTAATGGCTTTAATTTCATTTAGCTTGTGATTTCTGTTTGCACCACAGGTTTTCACAACCACCAAAATTATTCTTGTAGTATGTACTTACCATTCTAGAGAGTTTAAAAAGCTAAACAGAATTTAGAAAAACACATACAGAACAGTATTTCCTTTTCCTACACTGGCTTAGAAATTACTTCGCTTAAACATTTTTTAGCTTGCTATATGTATTGCCTATCATCCACTGTATCATTTTTTTGTTAGTCTGTTAGGTTTCTTAACACAGAATCTGGAATTTGTTAAAGTATAACTTTTATAACTCATTAACTACAAAAGAGTTACAAAACCAGCAAAACTAAAGCAGTCATAACAGCACTTAAAAAAACCTCTCTATATTTGCAAAACCAGTAATCTCAGAAAGCAAAAAATGCACATGGTTTTTAACAAAGATGTGGTAAAGATCCAGATTTGGAATCAGTTTTCAGCATTAATCCATCATAAAATATGTGATTACCCAATATTCTGTTTTACTCAAGAAGCCAGCAGAACACCACCACAGTGAATTCTGTAGGCTTCTATACATGCATATTAAATGTGGTTTATTTTAGGGAAATTCTAAAATAACATCTTACCTTTAAAGTCATCTCTTGGGCCTTGCACTTCCTTCTTGTTCATTTTTCTGTCAGTGCAGGAATTGTTATGGGCACCTTTGGAATTGTTTTCTAGGTAAGCTGAGCTCGTTCCTTTCTTGGAGGGATGAGGATCACAGAGTTTTGCATTAATCTTATAAAGCTCGAGGGCCTTAATGGCTGCTGCATTGTTATCCATACGGAGAAAAGTTGGACAGGAAGCACAAAATTCATTCGTGCAGGCTTCATTTCCACAGCCCTCAGTTAACTGGTGGTAGTAGCGCTCTATTAGATGCTTTGCAGCTGCTCGCTTCCTGTAGCAAACATTCAAACAGTAAGTACAAGGATTAGTAGAGCTTTCACATACAAAGCTCATTCAAAAGCATCAGCAAGGCAGAGATTAGTCAGACACTGAAACACAAGATTTCTGTGTCAGAGAGGACACATCAGGAGATTTTTTCAAATGCAGGATTCTCATCTTGACAAATGCAAATATATTTAACACACAGTTTAATTTGTGGGTTCTATGTAAATGGAAGGTTTATGCACAGTTTTCAGCTTTACATTCTAGCGTTACAGTGGACACACTCTTGTTCAGTTCTGAACAACCTCAATTGTCCCTGAAAAAGAGAGCAATTTAGATGCAAAGCAAGACTGCAAGTGAAACAGAACTGGATCTCATACAGGTGACTGAGTCTGGGTATAGCACTGAGGTATGGTTGCCACTGACAGAGGGAGAATTATTGAAATACAAATGATCCAGGCATTTATTTAATAATACTATCAACGCTACACCAATAGGATATAAACCCTTTAAAAATCTAAACCATTTTTTAAACAAGATTCCAGATGACTAAGTTATCAGATATTTAGTCTATTTAAATCTGTAGGAAAAATATTCCTTGGTTAAACTGATGACAAAAACCACGATTAAAGATGAGCTCAAGGCTGAGTATCTCTCTCCTCAGCTTAATAAGGTATATGGTTCTCTAAACAAGCTATTTGCCAAATCCTCTCCTTTCTCCAGCGATTATACATGGCAAGTATGTATTTTGAAGAATTACAACTATATTGCTAAACAAGTCAATGGGCTCAGTACTATATATTACACACACAAGAAAATTTAACTGGCCAATAAGTCCCAGACTTTTACAAATGGTAAAGAAATTGCCGTAAAGCTGCAGGTAACTGGGACAGAAGCTGCATGCAGCACCAACAGCACCACATTTGACCACATTTTGGAATGAAACCACTAAACCTTCACTGAAGAATATGAGTTATTAATTAAAAATATCAACTATGAAACATTTAAAACATTTTGGTGTAACGTGCAGGCTAACTTTACCTAACATTAGTGATACAGTACTATAAGGACTGGAACACAGAAAGCAAGATTTTCATCAGAAATTGAGATATTAACTTAAAGTTGCCTTTTCCAATGTTGATGTACGCACAGATTCTGCACAGAACAAGTACCTGAGAACTGAAATGCTAGGCCCAGTGGTACTACTCAGCACTTGCTGCACCTAGCTGTTAACACTGGCTGGTTAAGTATCAGAGCTCCAATGAAGCTGCTTCAGAAAGGAAAAGGTACTCAAGTTTTGAAAGTAACTACTGAGGTGTATATTATTCAGCAATAATACTTTTGCTCCTTCCTTTTCACCCTTCAAGATCTCATGATCCTAGGGAAGAAAATATTTCTTGCAAAGAAAACCATTACCTCAATATCTACCTGAGCTTTCAAATGCCCCAGTGAGTTCCAAGACAAGAACTGAATAGAAAGGTTTCCCTGCAACCTTGAGACAGAGGTGGAAAACCATTAAAAAAAAAAGCAGCACCAGCAATGCCATCAAAACCACTACCATATAATAGCTGTATTCTGGTCCAAGGAAAGAATTCTAGCCTCTCCAATTTTTATGTGTAGACTTAGGAAAACCTTCCTCTCTCCACATATGTATAAAAAGATAAGGTTGTTTTGAGCCTGTTTTTCATACTTCAGCTTTTAGTATAAAGGCTTTAAAACACCAACAGTGTTTTAACACAGCTTAGATCAGTACATGATTTCACAGATACCTATTTCTGAATGCCAAGACTTCATGCTTTGATCATTCTTGACTTTCAATCATTTCAGACCTTCAGATTTGGAGTGTGAAATGTTGTCACCTGTAAGCAGGTAAGCTTATCACATGAAAGACTTCCTTTGTAATACTGAATTTTTACATCTGAGCTATGGTCACCTGTCTCACCAACACGCTCCTTATTTACTTCTCTTGCAATCTCTCCTATGCATTACCTTGATGCCTTCATGAAAGCCTTCCAACTCCAGTTGAAACTTACTGTTCCTTTTATTTTCCTCCCTCCTTCTCACTGACCATGTTTTCCACAGTGCATACAAAATGCTGGTTATTTCATATACACATTATCATTTTAAATCTATCCTTCCTTGTCACATTTTCCTTCCACCTTATTTCTCTATTGCAGTCTATACATAGATCACAAGTTTTTTGCCATAATTTTCTGACCTATGTAATACACTTATGAATGTTACATGTATTATTTCTCACAGCTGCTCTAAGTGCATATGTATTACAGGTGTGTGTATTTATTTATTTACCTAAAGCAGCTAGAGCTGTTATTCAGATTAAATATATTGTGAAAAGCTGACCAGTTCCTTAAGAGTTCAAACTGGAGAAACTGTTAGTCTCAAAAAGGCATGCACACCTTTCTAGCTTACGTAACATCTGGTTTGAATGAAGTTATATCAGTGTTTATACACTGAAATACTAACAACACATTTAATCATGTTAGCTAAGTTTAGACTTGTATCTAACAGTTAACTTCTGAGGGACTCACTTTTTTGCTTCCATTTTTTAACTATGAATTACTTCTCAAACTGTGCCATGCCTACAATAATGTTGTCTGTACAAACATCTTCATTTTGACTCATGGCCACAGACTCATTGACCCAAGTTCTGTGAAATTCTATTAGAGATGGAAGGTTCAACTGAAAGTTAGAAATTTTTTTTTTTTTTAAATTCAACTATGGAAGCAAACAATACAATGTACAACAGTACTAGAATACAACAGTATTAGAATTCCCCCCCACCTCTCCGTGGCGGCTATTCCACAGAATTTTGACATGGCCTCAAATAAATTATTTAAGTAAATAAAAAAGGTGGAGAATTAAAGTGAGGATACAGACCTAAGAAGGTAGAGGAGAATTTAATGAGCCTTTTACAAGGCTACTCTTATTGAGGTGCATCCATGAAAGCACTTAAAAAGAACGCAGTTCCAAGTAAACCAATGTGTGATTTTACAGAATAGTAAGATATCCCATACCACATTCCCATTAGGGTACTTGAGGCATTACTGTCACCGTCCAGTGCCAACAGCTCACATTTCTATATTATTTAGAAAAAAATGTAGCCTACCTTCTCCATTCGCCAGAGGTGAAAACTTGATCTCTTTCTACATTCCCTTGCTCATTTAGTATGTAGAAAACCTAAGTTCTTAGCCTGAGGCATTAAAACTGGTTCATCAAGTGAGGTAACACAAAACCCCTCTCTATTCTTAGCTCACCCTATACTATGAAGACTGCAGCTCCCTTTAAATTCCTATACAGGGATCAAGTGAAGATTAACTGGTTCCCTATAAACTCAATGACTAGTTTACTGTACATTAGCACACAAGACATCTTCTAGTGTAGCTAAGGCTGCAGTGACTGTCTTGCATATATATTTGCAAAGGGTCACACTTTTGTTGCACATTCAAGTATGAAACTGCACTGGTGTGGTTGCAGTTGTAAACGTTTCACAGGCATATCCTTAAGCCTTAAGGGTAACTTCCCACAGAGTGGGCCTTGTATAACCTCCTCAAGCAAGACTTGTTAATTCAGTAAGGGGGAGAGGCACCTAAACAGACATCTTCCTTCCCCAAAGTCCAACAATTTCACAAGCACTTTTATCCATTTAAACAAAAATTAGTATTCACTGACTGACTTAAAGAAAAAAAGAACACCTTTAGACATTTTAATTGTTCTTTAGCTAATAAAAAGCCAGATAATAAGTACTTTGTATTTGTAATTAAAATGCTGCCAAAACTGTGGAGTATCACTAGAAATGTGCACCAGTGAGCCTCTACCTTTCTAGATACCTCAGGCAAAGGTGAACTGGGCTGCATTTTGGGTTGTGAAGTAACTTCTGAATGTCTAAAGCACATACAAAAAGGATTGAACGCACTAGTTCAAAAGTTCCTATGTAACAGCATCCAATTTGCATTTCCCAAATATCTTTAACTACAGGGAAATGCTGCATATGGAAACTTTTGCAACAGGAAAAATCAGATGTTTAAGCATTTAAGGAATTTTAGAAAACTCTGAAGCATATAATCCTTTAGAGCAAAGAACATTCATCCAAGTTTCAAAACTTGCCTGAAGTTAAAAATATCTGCATAAATGCATCGTTTTTGCTTTAAGTTTACCTAAATTTTAGAAATACGTATGAAGGTTTCATACTTGTCTGGAAATATCAATATGAAATGATGTATTTCTGAATGGCTTCTCCTTGGGACACAACAACTTTTATATTATTTCTACACAGAAGTCTCACATTGCTCCAAGATAGCATATTTTAGTAAGCGGAAATTTACAATGGCCCTTTTTAACAAAACTATTAGGAATTCACAAGTGCCAAAATGTTCATAAGCTGTCTTCTTTCTTAGCACAAAAAAAACGCAATGAAAGTACTAATGTGCATGGAAACTAGAGGAAAAATTATGTTTGTCTTTTGGATAGGGGCAAAAAAAAGGGACCATTTTTTTTAGTACTAATAGCAAAACAACTTCCAGTATATGCCTTAACAGACAGGACCATAAACAGACTTATACACCTGCAACAATTATGCTACACTGTGGAAATAAGATGACCAGCAGATCAGAAACTGTTAAAAAAAGTGTGGGTTATGGATGGACATCTTTGTGAAGTTACATACTGCTTTCTGAGAGTTTCAGTTTCAAACCTTGCGTGTTGGTTTCCTGCCCATGTTTAGTTAGAGTAAGAACAGCGGTGCTAGAGAAGACAAGCTTCCAGTAGAAGCACTGCCCACGCAGACCCTTTTGAAGCAGCGTGCACACTGAACTGCCAAATGCTCCACACAGAACTGGAGCCAAGCCCTCTGTTCCAGCAGCGTTGTAACACGTTCTGCCCGTCTCGGCCACTGACACTCCACCAAACGTCTGCAAATACACATGGAGCTCCCATTTGAAAGATCTTTGTTCTTTCCAGTGTGGTGTGCACCAATAGCTGGGGTACAGACCGAACTCCCTTGGACCATACTGGCTTCACTCAAGGGACCTCCCGCCCTACCACGTATTCTAGATCCACTGTGCCTCCAGGAACATTGTGTGCTGACAAAGTCAGGCATGGCGCTTCCTCAGGAAGGGCAAACCTGAGAACAGAAGAGCTGTCCTGGCTTTATGGAGCAATGCAGAAAGACAGCTAGAGAGAGGGTGTCAAGAACATGGTCAGCACATATCTCTTGTACCATATCAGTACTTGTCTCGCAGACAAATTACTTTGCTGCAGTCCTTTTAGAAAAGCATCCTTCATTTCTGCCCTTTCCTCTTCAGGTTATTAGCTCCAAGACTCTACAGAGAATGTTATTCCACAGACCAACTGGTTTCATATGCTAGTTCCCATCTGTCCTTCTTAAGAAGGCATGCCGTGCCCTATCACCTATGCAATCCCTCCAACATTCAGTTAGCCAAAAAACAAAGAGATGAATAATGCATCAATTATACCCTGGCTTTTCAACCCAAGCAATTTCAGGAAAAATCTGTGCCGCCGCCCCCCCTCCCCCCGGCCCTTACAGGCCTGAAGCCATTTAATTAGTGATTATGGGGAAACAATTATTAAGCAATTATTGAAAGCAATCAACACATGTAAATGGTAATGATTGTAGGCATACAGTTGACTTTTAAATACTATGCTCATGTTTACAGAATCAGTGCCTTTTGAAAAGTCAGGGAAAAATACAGCCTTCATAAAAAAAGCCGATAAATTGATTTGAGTACAAATAAAAAGTAGCTTGGGTTACTGCAGGAATAAACTTAGTAATAAGTTTAGGACTGACTATAAACTTACATCATCTTACTCTCTTGAACAAATTTGTTATTCTTAATATTTTAAAGAAAAAAGTACACAATTGTTATCAGCTGTTAAACTCCCAAAGAATAATCACATCTAACCACACGAAATTTTTCAACCGTTCTCCAAATTTTCTTTTAAAATATCAAGTAAAGAGTCCTAAACTCTAATACTCTCTACTGGCTGTGAGGCCACAATAAGACCAACTTTGTCTTTATTGGAAAGAAATAAAATGACATTAACCTCACATACTTGCAGGAATCTTTCAGTCTGTCTTTATATTCTGGAAAAAACAAATAATGAATATTTTATCAAATATTAAACAAAATACATATTCTTTAGTACCTTCCGTGTCTTCCCTTAAAGAAGTCCTGGCACTCGAGCACGTACAATTAGACTTCATGTTGTACTATACTTGACAAATTTAAGCTTGTTCAGTATGAAATTTATACACTGTATTCTGATCAGCATCCCAACCAAAGAAAGGAGATTATTAGCACTGCAGTGAGATATCAGAAGATATAGACAGTAACTTGGGAGACACTGATTCTAATTTTCTACTTTTAGACGACTAAAGTGTTTCAGTAGAAAGCGTGATATAAGTGACAAACTATTTCAGACAAAAATTGACCATTGCAACAGTGTGAAAAACAGATGAACTGATAAGTCAAGCTATTGCTAAAGTAAACAATTAAAAATTATGTAATTTAGTGCTAGAGAGGTTTCAAGAAAGTTATCCGAATCAAAGCTGAAAATTAATGCAGACCTGTGACAGGAGCAGACAGGAGATGATGATCTTAAAAATTCAAAAGAGTTGAATGAATGTTAAGGAAAAAAGACTTCTAACTCTGAGCTAGGACCAAGATGTTCATCATGCACAGAGCTAGAGTTTTAAAAGCTTGGGATAAGAAAAACTTATCCATGGAAGAATTTGCTGCGTAAGAGTCCAGAAGAGTCAGTAGATTGTTTATTTATTTTAATTCACACATGTGAAACATATGTGACTGTGCTCTTAGTACAAAGCTTTGCAATGCAGAACACAGAAACAAATAAAGCAATTATATCAGCCAACTAGAGCAAAAACAGCTTAACCATATATTGTGCAAAAAATAAAACACTTGCATAAGTTCCTGCATTTACTAATGAATATAGGCATGTAAATAACATAGTTACTATTACAGCTACACAGGTAGGCTTGCAGGTCACGCTATTACCCAGCCTGCCATTCCACCTTATGTGGCAAGAGCAATTATGCAGCAGGATTGCAGAAATTCTCTGTAATAGGTAATGTACACATCACATTGTGACACAGTGTTAAAAAATTTAGTTTTGCAAGTATAGCATGCATTAACACTGTATAACTAATACACAAATATGTGAATCCCTACAGCTTGACTGGCTTACATCTATTTTAGACAGATACCCAAAATCTACACAGTGAGAGTAACTCTGATGATCATTCTGCACAAAAAAAAAAAATTTCAGCTTTCACACAGAAAAGCTTGCTACTGTAGATTATTTTTCCAAGTTCAGTTTTAAGGAGGACAAAACACACACACACACACACACACACAAAGTGTCAAACTGCTAGAAGGAAATACAGTTGTACTGCCTTTTCCTTCTCATTTATCATGGGTTCTTAGAGTCTGTTTCACACCACTCAAGTTCCTTGTTTCTGACGCATCTTCCCTCACAGCGTGCAAAAAGCAGTCAACTGACAATATCCAGGGTGGACTATGGCCAGTCTACAGCCCGATTTTGTCCATTTGGCTAGGCTACGGAAACAAAAGAACACAACTCAACTTGCTGCAGGAACAATAAAACACAATGCAGCAGGGGCTGCTGCTGGAGACCATGGCAGGATTTGGCTGCCCTGCAGCCTCTGTCTCTAACACATACCCACGCAGCAACAGCCAGTTACCTCTCAGGTCTTGATGCCTGCAACCTGTACTGCTAAGAACGCAACTAGCCAGCACATCTGTAACAGATGGCAAGAGAGAGGGAAAAGCTAATTTGTTGTCCCAGGAGAAATGCTCCTCCTAGGACAAGAAAAGACTTCACTGCAGTGAATTGCTAAAAACACATGGGAAAAGTGTTCCATGTTTCCTTCTCCTCACTTTTAAGGTTAGATACACAGTTCAGTGTGGAAGGGCTCACCTCAGCTCTGCTTCTCCCCAACTTGGGCAGCTACAGCAGAGAAGTTCTTGAGCAACTGACACTATGTCCCCAGCCTGCAAAACATCCTGAAACTGGCATTCAGCCAGCAACACATAAAATGCTAGACCACTTGGGGGGAGGGTGTGGAGGAGACAGTTTAAAGTCAGAGGAGGAGTTTGTGGCAGAAGCAAAATGAACCCAGGTCTTTTGAAGCCTTGGACACGAACCACTGGGCTACATTCCCTCTATTATTTTGGAATTTGTGCTGTAAGCCAGAAAAGCAGAGTTTGTGGTTTCCCTATTTGAGTTTTATGACAGGATGGTTTGAATAGCAAGAAAAGAATTTTTGTTTGCTAACTCACAGAAGAATAGTCTCAAGTAACTTTTCTTTTTTTTTTTTTTAAATGGTCCTCTCATTCCTGCAACCCTTTTGCATTTAAAATTGAAATGAACATTTCAGCCTACCACAATCTTGCTTCTAGTTAATCTTGGCTTCTAAGCTAACGAAGACAGACCAAAACGAGGTTCAGAACTGAGCAAGAAGCTACATGAATACTGTTTGGTTTTCTGTTTCTAGAAGTAACTAGTATATAAATTTGCCAAATTAAGTCAGACTTTTTTTTTTCCTTCTTTTGTTCAGCAATCCATTTGCCACAATAGGTATTAGCAGGTATTGTGCCTTACCACTGAAGTGTCTTCAAATCCATGCAAGATGTTAGTGAATAGCAGGTAGAAATTACACGCCTACTGGCAAGTCTGAATACAGGCCTGAAGATTTCTGACACTGTCTTATGCTACCATCTACTGGTTCTCATTAAACCAAGCCGCTGAACTTTCCGTTTAACCAAGCCTCCCCTCCAAAAAAACACCACAAAAAAGAATCATCACAATTTCTACAGAGGCTTAAAATTATTTTTCCATAGCAAAATACTAACTTGAAATTTTCTAAGGTGATTCCATAGTTCTACTCAGCTTCTGTCGTCTTTTTTTCAAGCAGGTGCAAAAGTAACTGTTACATACATTCAGAACATTTTAAAACAAGATATATCAAACTCATCCACTCATTTACTTACATTCGGCTAGTTTCAACGTTTTCAGAGTGAGGTTCTCCTGGTGATCTGCAAATACATATAAGAACTTTAAGCACTGTTTGTTATTTTAAGTCATTACAATACGAAGAGTTAAGAAAGGTGGAAAGCGATGAAAATGTATTATTGACACAAAAAGCATCAATTTTTATGCACTTGCGCATTTAATTTGTTGCACCAAACTCTAGAAGACAGTTCATAACATGAAACCTGACGATATAGTTAAGCCAAATTTCTCTAAAAGAGGACAGCACTTTTTTGCCACAGCTCAGGCAACAGCAGCCATTAGAGAAGAGTTCTGCTGGCAGTACTTCTGTATTCAGGTTGCATAGTGCACTGGTTTTGGGCTAATTCTTCAGAACCACTTCGGTAACCAAAATGTATACTCAAAGTTTATCAGTGATCAATAGTTATAAACAAATTCTCTGCACAGGTGGACTCTAAGAAGCAGCAGCTTAGAAGCAGGTCTCAACAGAATCTTGAAACCAATTTCCTTGAAACAAAATTCCTCTACTTGAATTTATGGACATAATCTCCCAGAGCAGAAGCATAAAGGCAGCTTTCTGTTTCTTCCTTCCAGCCAAAAGATCATCCAGTAATATTCAGAATTAGGCGTTATCGCCTGGCATTTTTGAACACACAAGCAGCACCTTTGTTCAGCTTGCCAACCCCCTTGACTTGATTTACAGAGTATGGGGTATAGTTCCATATTAAGTTAAGTAGGCTAAATTATAGTCACTTAGCTCTTCCTTATTCCCATCTTCTTCCTTATGTCAGCATTGATTCAAGAAGTTAACTTTTTTTTTTTTCTTTTAAAGACAGATTATTTTTTTTCCTCCCTTCAGGACTTCCCCTACCCAGTGAGTTTGTAGCCGGATGATCCAGGAGACAAGGTAGTACAAATGCAGCAGTTTTGACTTCAATCATCTTAAGCTGCCTTGAAATCACACCCTGAAGAACCTTATCCAACCTTCACTTGGATATAGATTTTGGTACAGTTAACCAGAACCGCCACACTGGATATATTGCATGCGGAGTGGAAACAGAGCACAGCCATTAAGGTAAAACTCTGTAGCTGACATGAACAAAAATGTCTTTCAGGACAGAGCTTTCTCAAAACAGAAGTGAGCTAAAATCTACAAACAGAACTCACTTTGTAGGTTTCAACAGAGTTTGCCAGGGGACTTCAGTCAGCGCAGCTAAGCAGGCTTTGCCATAGCTTTACTGGGAAAATCTCTGGTTATAGGAATGGAATTTCTGAATTTCTCTATTTACTATATGACTACCAATGCTATTCTAAATGCTATTGGAAATCTCCACCTGTAGCCTGAAACACTTCCTTTTTTCCTGTCTTTTGTTGTGCTACCTTACTGGATGGTCCCTCCTGTTTATTAAAGCCTGGACTGTTCTCTGAATTCTCTACTAAAAATCTTAGTTCCTCTAATGACATACAGATCTTAGAAATTTTCTGGATGTTACCAAACTGTACTTTATTAACAGACCCAATGCCTAGAAAGCATTTCTGGCAGACAACTTACAATTCCTAGGCTAGCTGGATACTATGCAGTGACAGATGATGCAGAACACGGGAAGTTATTTGTTTATATTCCACCAAGTTATAAAATTCAACTGACACTAGGGATGGAATTCTGAACTTATAATCCAACTAACTTAATATACATGCTTAAAATGCAAATACCCTCTAACTGGAAAATAACATAAAAACTGCCCAATCTCAAAATTTGGTCTCTATTTATTCCCTCCAAATGATGTTTCCCTTACTTGTTAAAGTTCAGGATTGACAACATAGTTGCTGACAAAAATAATGCTCAAAAGCAAAACAAATCAACATTTCAAAACAAATTTCAAAATTAAAAACAAAACAAAAAATGTGTGGATGTGGTGCTTCAGGACATGGTTTAGGGGACATGGTGGCGCTGGATTAATGATTGGACTTGATCATCTTGAAGCTCCCTTCCAACCTTAGTGATTCAGTGATTCTGTGATTCATTTTCCTTCAACTCCAGCAACCAAAACAAGTCACTAAATACTTAGCAGAGAGAAAAGAATCTAATTTTTTTCCCCTAATTATTCACCTAAGCATGTAAGTGCTAGAACCTGTACAACCTGAGGAGCAGTGGAAAGAAAAGTATTTATAGTTATACTGGCTAGCTCCTCTACTCACATTCAGGACTTCAGAAACTGACAGCAAAGAGCTCGGATGTTTGGGGTGGTTATCTTTGTTTTAGTCATGGGAAATACAACAAAATGAAGCTTTAGGTTGAGAGTAGTGCTTTAAGTTGCTATGAAGAGACAAGTGAGACAAGTGAAATAGTGGTGTTAAAACAAAAAAAATCAAGATTATTAACCACTTTGAACCTTTAAAATACACAGCAGTATGAAAAAATATATAAAAACTGCAGATTGGCATCTAAACTTAGCATGTTAAAAATGGTAGCCTGGTGATGTGCAGTAAAGACATGTAAACACAGCTATCAGTATATCCAAAGTATCTTCCTATCCTTATCGTTTGTGTCAGTTTTATCTGTGCTTTGAACAGACAGTGCAGTTCAGTATATGCTATTCTGCAAAAAAAACATTTTCTTCTATAATATAAGACAAGTAATATAAGAGAAGATAAAGTTTCAGGGAAGTTCAGAAAAAATAAAACCTAGCTGAGTCTGAAAAGGTTTGGTCCTTTAAGGTAAGTGGTTCTACAGAAAACAGGGATCAAATTCCTTCAGCTTATTGTTTTCTAAATATGAACAGACCTACCATAACTATGATTTGCAGAACTATTAACGCACTTATTAAGCAGATTTTAAAAGGTTTCCAATGACAATGTAAGCACCAAATAATATGAGCTTTCAGTACTCATTAAAACAACATGGAAGATCAATCTAATTACAGGAATTGTAGTTGTTTGTTGAGAAGCTATTTATTCTGCAATACCCAATTGTTTACAAACAAGATACCTTGTTATTCCTCTGAGCTGGCAACAGTACCGAAAAACAACTATATAGTATGGCAAGACATCCTTTCATCATGCTTAAAATCCAAAACAAGAGAAAATCTCAGAGCAAATGCTCTTACAAATTTCAGCTTTGAATTAGATCGTAGGTACTAATCACAAGACACCAACTAATCTGAATACTGCAGTATGAGCTAGCAAATTCAAATGGTGGCTCACTTCCAACAACACAGGGAGCAACTTCTCCATTCTGCAAGCCACTCCTTTTTACCTCCATTGTACCGCCCTAGGACAGAAAAGTAAAGGTATGCAAGCCTACAAATCTTAACATCATCAAGCCTGGACAAACACTTTTAAAAAATTTGAATAAATTGCTTAAATAAGTATGCTAAACAATTTATACAGAATTTCAGTAAGACTGTAAAAAACACCAGAGACTTTTAAATGACAGTACTGCTCTTAAGAGGGATACCACAGAGCACCACAGTGCTCACATTTTACAAAGCAGACAGAGGCAAGGTAAGTGAGCTTTGAAATCACTTAAGCAAAAGTCAACTTTGCCAGTTATCTTAAACAAACAATATACCTTAATACTATTTATAAAACTAACTTCAAGCCATATAAATGAAATACTTTTAAAATAAACTTTATACTAAAAAAATCAATCCTGAGAAACAACATGATACGCTTTATGCTTACCTTTTACAAGCTGTGGCCATTCGGTGACATCAGGGTGATCACGACTTTGAGTCACTGATTAAAAAGAGTTGTCACACCAGTCCTGTATCACGCTGGGCTAAGCATAAGCTTAACAATTCTAAATAAGTAAAAATAATTCAGTTAAAAGTACTTGCAAATTATTTTCAGCCAGTACACTAAATAAAAAACAGAAAACAGAAGAAAAATATTGATGCTAAGCGCTGTTTTATCTGCGAAATTAAGACCTCCTGCACAAAAAAATAGTTCATTTTTGAAAGGCATTCCAAGACTTCTAGAGTAATTCACTATGGTACACTCAACTGCTGAACTTGAAAATTCACCAACTTATTTTTAACCTCTCTAAAAAAAAATAAAACCAAAACCCATCTCTTGGACCAGTGGAAAGCACCCGACATCAAGACAATAAATATTCAAAGATTTGAAAGCACGTGCGTAAATGAACTGTATGTTCTAACTACAATAAAATTCCATTAGTTGCTTCTCTGATACAACTCAACTAACACTCGTTCCTAATGAGGTTCTATGTTTCCAGGGGGGCAACATGTAACTTGCACTTTGCTGTGTGCCTCTCCCCAAAATGACATAAGCTAAAGCTATGTAAAAGTTCAGAAGAGCAACCTTTGCCATCTGTCGCCAATCTTTTAGGTTCTTTGCTTCATTTACACCACATGTACTCTCTCCTCTCCCTTAAATTTTCAAAAGTGTATTTTACCTGTCAATTGTTTCCCGTGATCTGGCTCCACTGGTATAAATTGAAGTGTTGGTCCTTTACTTTGTCACGCAGGTGGCAGCCAATGATCACTCAGCAATACTCGTGCCCAGAGCGCCCTGGGACCACCCCAGCTGATTACTTCCATGGCTGAAAAGGAACCAGTTAGTCTCTTACCTACTGCTATGATCTACTCTAAACTTACGTTAACTGATAAAATATTTCCAAACGTAACCCTCAACACTCAGTTCACCCCATTCTCTCTCCCACCCAAGCTGTAAGACAAAGGTACACTGGACAAAGACTGTAAAGAAAAGAGGCCTCTGATGGAGAATCAGACCACAAACAGCATTATTCACTTTTTGTTAATATAAAGTCTTGACTAAAATTGAAGTGTTATTACTGTATTTAGTAAATAAACAGTTATCTATGTTTCTCTAAACAGCCAGTAGCTATGAAGACAGATCTCCGTGCAGTATCTGAGAAGTTTATTCCTGTGGCTCTAACCCAGATGAAATCCCACATTTGCAGGTTGCCATGCAGCAGAAGCCTCATACAGAAGCAAGGTGCACAAAGGCTAGCGAGCTACTGAGGGCACACCTGCAGCTCACTGCCACACACGCAGTCATAATTATCTGGTGCAAATTCTAAGAGAGCACAGACAGCTTTAAACATTTCAGTAAAGAAAGCTTTTGTGCTTCAGTCCAACCTATTACAAGAGTCTTTCAGTAAGGTCTTCGGTTTGATGAGAAATCAAGCAGTCTCAATACTAATTTGTATCTGCTGACTCATCAAAGATATGAAATCACTGATCAGTACGCAAGGCCCATGATTTTCTCAAGTTTGTCAGAAAAGCTGCTGATTTTTGCCGTTCTGCTACAAACTCTGCAATGGAACAAAATTTGTATTAATTTTGGAATGATGCTTATTAGTTTTACTGGGTACATCCTGGAGGTAGGAAAAGTGACATTTAATTATTTTAACATCAGTAATATTTAAGTCTTCTCATCTAAACACAAGCGCAGTTGACACAAGGAAAGTAGAAAACTAGCAGGCTACCAAAAAGCTCTAACACAAAATAGAGGTTCTCTAGTACCTATGTTTTACAGGTGTAAATTGTCAAAGTTAACTGAGTCAATGCCAGGAACACAGTACAGTGAATAAAAGTCAGTTGGAAAGGTTTCTCATCTGTCAACATTAAATGACAAACAGGGTACAGATTTTCAAATTAATGTTTGCTGCCCATCAGCTGCACAGAAAAGCAAACAGCAAAACCCAAGATGCTGATGCAAAACTAAGAAGCTTTAAAACACTGCTTATGGAATTCTGATTGTTTAACAACTGATAACGTCCACTTTCAACCACACCTTAGCTTTAAAGAAACGAATGCCTATTCTAAGGCAGTGCTTTCTTCTAAAGTTAAATCTAAATTCTTGCTGCTTTCTGAATTGATGTGGCATGGCTCTGTAAAAATGCTTTTAGAAATCAAAACCCATTCTAGCTCTTTGCCCAAGTAACTTATTAGTATGCTCGTCAAAGAGGACACTGGTGTAATCTAATGCCTCTTTGGTTGGGAAGCTTGCATTCTGTTTGACTGCTGGAAGTACCAGCTCACATTCTGCAGTGTGCCAAAACAATCACTGCCTACCTAGACTTCTGTCCTCTATCACCCAGACCATGGGCAAAAGCTAATGGAAGCATGTTAGAACAGGCTGACAGCAACCCTAGTACAACAGGGTTTTCCTGAGGCTGTTTCATACAGGACAAGAGAAGTCATGAACACGATTGTCAACAGTGAAGGAACACATAAAGCATTGGTGCTGGATTCAAAAACCATGAGATTTTGGAATGCTAAAGAATATGTGCTGAGGTGGCAGCTCCACAATCACAGCCAAGACAAGTTTGTGCCCAGGCCTGACACAGATCCAACTGTTCGTCAGATTTACCACACCACCGAACATAGTATCTACAGCAGTTCTGTGAAGAGAAGCAGTATCTGAACTGGCATGAATCTCACCGAGCTGAAGTTAACTCATCTAAGTTTTGTAGTGAAATTTGTATCCACAAATTGAATTTATTGTTGATCAGAGTTTTGAATCAGGTAATTGCAGTATTTCTAATCCATTACTAGATATCTTAAAACTAGATTTACTGTACTGGGGTCTAAAAAATCTCATGCTACTTTTCATTTTCAACAATCCAGATGCAAGAAATCTTAATGAATCATCTTTCCTTCTATCTCCTTCTCATCCTACCTTCCCCACCTATCCTCGCTGCCACTCCTGTGAGACACAGTATCACTGGTAAGGATTCCCTAGCACAGATGAAGAATTCTTTTTTTCTGAAACCTTACTCATTCATATATCAGCAGAGCACTATCTGCTGGCAAAGAGATCAGCATGTTGAAACATGGGGTGGGTGGTGAAGGAGACTGCCATCAGAAATCCCTTATTCTGAATCTAGTTTGAACAAAGGACATTTTGACTGGTGGATCCAAACAAGGCAGAAAAAAACCCTGGTAAGAGAGTCAAAGGACACTACTTGGTCAGGAAAGGGAAACCACACTGATGCATGGACTCACATCTTGGAAAAGGGCATAATGAAGAATAGAAAACTGACCCAAACCAACTGCTTCTCTGTCACAGGAATTCTTTTACCAAAAAACCCTTTGGATGTAACTTACCTTCTAGAAGGTAGGAACAGCAGCCCCAGAGCAGATATTTATTCTTATTACTCAATGAGATTTCTCTGATCTTGACTGTGATGATTAGCGTGGCTTACAGTTTAGGCTTTCACAGACACACTGGGCAGATGAAAGTATGACGCAAAGTTTGTGCCTGTGGACTATGTCCAAGAAACCCGAGATGGCTGCTAGGCTCTTTGGGACTGGGCAGGCTCCAGTACAGACAAATCTATAGCTGCCTAGTGACTATTTACAAGATGTAGATTCAATCAGGACTACAACAACCCCTATTATAATTAGCAAGACAATACAAAAGATTCACACCTTCAGACCGCGTATCTGAAGAACCTTGTGTGGCATGGAGTAGCCCTCATTGAGAGGGAACAGGGTAAATAATGTTTATGCAGTAGTTTGAGACAACACCCATTTCTCCAAGGTGGCAAAGGTGCAGATTTTCTGAAAAGAATGTTTCTATCAACTCAAAGCAGGACAAAATAAATAATAAATCAGTGAAAGAGCAAGAAGTCAGAAATCAAGTTCAGATGCATCAAAAGAGGCTAAAAGCCACTTTGCTCTATAGCCTGATGAGATCTTCTCCACATATTTCATCTAATCTTTAAAGTCTGGAATCACAAATGTAAGCCAAGAAGAGGCCTGCAGCTTAAACATACAGAATGCCACACCATGAAGAGCTTAAGTACCTATTTGTCAGCGATCAAAAGCCAAAAAACTTCCAGCTACAAATCACTTAATTAGAAGTTGTCACTTAAATGGATTTCCTGTATCTATTACTTTCCCTGTGTTATTCGATGTTCACTTTCTGTGACAGCACAGCAATCTAGCAGCTGACACCCAGGATCTGATGTCTAGCAAGATCCCTGAGAGGAGGAACACTTTTATTTAAACTACAACTTCTTGTTGACCTTATTGAAGGATGGGTGCCCTGGGAGGTGGCATTTGTAAGAACTTAAGTTTCCTTTACAAAATAATTTTAACTATCCACCCGAGTAATCTTTGATCCAAATTAAGATTCTCTTTTTGACAGATGATCTAATGAAAACATGAATGATTCACCTGCACAAAGTACCATGATCTTCCTTACCTTCCAGTGCCAGAATTTGAGTTGCTTAATTAAAAATAACCATCTCTCAAGAAGATACCACTAGACTGCTTTTGTGTGTTTTATGAAGAATCCCTCTGAATCCCCCAAGAATGAATTTGATACATTTCTAGAATGACTGAGTACCATGATTAAACAGACAGTCATCATCTATACAGTAAAAGTCGCCCTCAAAACTACCTTAGATAGTTTATTACTTCAAAAAAGGAACTGACAATCAACAGGAAAGCTGGCCTTTTATACTTGAGATTGCTTAAAATGTCCTGGAGGAAATTGTAGAATATTCACCAAATCCCTAAGTTCAAACTTAACAGTCACTTGCAGAAAAAAAAGTCATAGAGTAACAGGCATGTTTGAGACTTAATTTCTTGATAAGGTTAGACACATCAATTGCTTTGGTTGGCTGCATGCTGCTTCCAACACAGAAAAAAATGAAAAGATGCAGGATTCCAGAAGCTTTCTTCATGCAACTAACAGCAGGTCAAATTATCAATGATCCTCAAGTAAAATAAATCAGCCACTAGTAAAACATGATTATATAAATCCTAAAGGAGCTGCAAAAAAAACCCCAGTAGTAAGGCATCTACTCTTTTTTTTCCACTGCCTGGTAAACCAAACCATTCAACTGATAACAAATACAAAATCACATAGAGGACCAGAAGAATTGGGTTCTATGCTGGAAAATGCCAACCTAAAGTGACTAGGGCAGTCACAACTGATGAGCACACACACACATGCTCTCAGTATTACAGCTAGGAGGACAGATAAGACTCATGAAGGGCTCCTGGAAGGGTGTCTGTTCACCTGCCCAAAGTACTTCAGACACATTCAAAACTTGAGATCAGTTCTCCAATTATTCAATGTTCTTCAACAGTGTTCCAGAAGTAGCAGAAAAGAGCCATAAAGACAGCATGAAGATAGGAGAAAGTGCCTTGTGATTAGATAATGGAAGGAGTTCAAAGTTAATCAAGCTAATCAGTATGGACACTGGAAGAAACCAAGTCCTCTCATAGCACAGAAAGAATACATAAAAAAGATCTTCCAATTAAAAGAAAGCATATAAACCCCCACATGACTAGAAACTGAAGGTTGACAAATTCTAATTAGAGTAGGAACACAAGCATGCATGATAGCAAGTACAATTAACACTTGAATAAATTATATGGGGCGGGGATCTGAATTTGCTACTATCTTCAAATTAAAGCTGTTGTAATTCTGGAAGTTATACTTCAGTAAAAACAGAAGTTACTGAATTTAATAAAGGTAGAATTTGGTGCATCTCAATACAGAGATCAACTATAGATTCTTATAAAAGCTTTATCCTAAAATATCTGTATACTTACTTTGCCTTGATGCCAATACTCCACAAATCACACAGAAGGTCTAGTGTTTGCTCCCATTCCCTCTCCCTGCTGGAAAACTAATGATCTGTGCATTAGTCTAACTTTCTACATCTGACCCTGCAACTCTGGACAGTAGGTTTTCCCCTTAACATTTCTTTTTGGTTTGGTATTCCAGTAAGATTGTCAATGTATTTTATTCACCTTTGTAAAAGAGGGAAAGACCTGAAGTTATCTTTAGTTTCTGCATTTTTCACTTAGATCACAGTTGATTTTTCTTCCTCTACACTGTCTCAGTTATGCCTGCTACTTCAGGCTGCCTCCAGAATGATATACAGTTATGAATGGAAAGCCCCTCCTACATCAGGAGGTAAAAATCAAATATCTATTTAAATTTATTTTAGTAGCTCTCCTTTTACTGGCTAGGTATCAAGTTAAGTTTTTTTTCACAAATAGGTAAGTTTTACAGCTTCACTTGAGCTTTAATACTTAAAATTTTATTCCATCTGTCCTTTTGCTTATGTTTTGTTGTTTTGCTTTCTTTTGCCACCTATCTTTCATGCAGCCTTCCACGTAAAGTACCTTCCTGTTCACCAAGTCCTTCAGTGTCACCAGCATATTTATTTATATATAGTTTATATTAAGATCAAGCAATCATGCAACTCTGTAGCATAACATTCAGCTTTTCTGATGTTCCATTAGCATTCATCACTCACAAGTTGTGAGGGATTAGAGGGGAATTCTCCATCAATCTATGAAGCGCATACCATTACAAAGACCCTATGCATACATACAGCAGCAAGCAGTTAAACATTCGGAAAAGAGCAGCCAGCAGAAATAATGGTAATAAAGAAATAATGGCTTAGGTTTGAAGAAGAGCCATCATACACACAACTGGTATTGCAACTGGAGAGCAAGAAGCAGGTGGGTGGTCCCAGTGGTGCTGTGGGTGCAAAAATGAATATATACTACCTGCCAGATGCCTGCTAGAGCAAAGGACCAATCTATACAATTCTCTCAGGAACATCTGGATTGTGATAATGTAACATGATAGCTTTTTAAGAGATTTACAGTTTGTAATTAGCACACACCATATTTAAAGTTTCAGCTTAGAATTAATGATTTTAGCTCCTGTCTATAGCTTCCTACGAAATAGAACTTAAAAGAGAAAAAAATACCCCCAACAATCCTTCTGCAAGGTTGAGATTTCAAAACTTTAAGTATGTTCTTATGTTAAGTATCTTCAAAAGAAAAATCTAGACATAAACACACAGCATATAAACTGTATCAGCAGTTACTGAGTTCTTCACCACATTTTAAGTGGTTAAAAGAAAAAGTACATACATAGCTTAGAAGCAGCTGTTGAAGTAACCACATAAAATTTTATATGTGTGTTAACAGACCTATTTAATATGGTAGAAAAATGAACTTAAACAATAATTGTTTTTCTGAATGCAGCAATGCAAGAAGTTTCAAAAATTCTCTATGCACCAAGTTGCAGAACTACGGAACTTGAGACACTAGAGTGCAGTTATTCCATACTACCAGGTATCTCCACAGGACTGCACCAGAATAAAGATCGAAAACAGAAATTGAAATAACTGTTAAGGTTCCAACCTTGCTGCAATACATGTGCATATTTTTAAGCTCGCTGGAGATTTAAGAGCCTAGACAAAAAGATACCACATGCCATGGGCTCATGCTAACATTGCTAATGAAGGTTACATTTATGTATTTCCTAACATTCCAATTTGCAAATTTGACTTACACTGATGTTTGCTGATAGCTTCTAGTTTTCTAGTATTTTTGAACTCACTTTTCGAGTCATACCTAAAAACTGTACAAGCCTCATTACACTCAGCAGCAAGGAAAAAAACCAAAACACTTTCAGAAACACCACCGATTCTTATACAATCCATGGACAAATAGATGGATGGTAGCAGCGTGATGCTCAGTTTGTAAAATAAATTAAAAAGGAATTCATCAATGTTGTATCATGAGTATTTATTTTCTCCAAGTAAAATCAAATAACTCAGTTTCCTAGAGAGCTATGCCTAAGTAGCACATAGTCAAAAAAATATAGGAAAGGAGTATAATTATTTGTTATTATAATTATACACACAATATAAGTGAAAATATAAACATACCATATCTTTCCAGAGCTGCAGAAACTTGTTCTTTCAAATTCTAAAATGGACTTCTACAGTTCTTGTACCTATAACGCAAAACATTACATTTCAGTTTTTACACTATGCTCCATACCAATCTGAAGCTCAACACAACTTCAAAACAATACATTCAAGAATGGCCATCCAATTAGTGACAAGTTTGCAACTAGAGAAAACATATACTTAGAATCATAGAATATCTCAAGGATCGAGTCTAACTCTCTGCTCCTTGCAGGGTTACTTAAAACTAAATCATGTGACTTCCCAAACTAAATCATACTTTTCATAAAACACACAACAGAAAATACTTAGTATGTTACAGAAACTATAAAAGCAGAAAGTACATATGCACAATATTCCCTATTCTTTCCTCTCTAGCAATGCAATGCAGTTTTACAATTCTGTTCATCCAGTTCATTACAAATACCCATTTCCTTCTTCTGGAAGATTCTGGCAATGTTTCTTTCCCCTCCCTGTTCCCTCCCTCCCTCCCTCCCCCTTTTTTTAAAAAGGATTGGTATTTATAATAAGAAAAAACCACCCCAACACCCAAAAGAAGTCACAGACAGAACCACATCTTTGTCCTGGCTGCACAAAACTGCTGGAGTTTGATAAGCTTTTCTATAAATTGCTCATTTTCAGGGAAGCCATAATTAACAAGGGACTCATGACTAAAACATACTCCAAACATTTTCAACACCTAAAGGCACAACCAATTTCAGGGGAAAAAGTGACAGAAACAGGCATATAACTAAAGAAATCTAGCAATTACTTTCCAGAAAGTTACTCATTTGGCACAGAATATCGCATTTTCAGTACCAGGAAGATTTTATACTTAATTTATTGGTTCTAAAACTCTGTTAAGAATAAACAAATCCCATGCAGCTGATTTAGGGTGGTCTCCAATATCGATCCAAGTTTCCACAAAGGAAACCCTGATCTGGTTACCTTAAGAGTTCATTCAGGTTTGTCTTAAAGATATCAAACAACAGAGAATCCATCCAGTACCAAAGGCTCAATTCTGTATCAGGGATGTGAGAAGGAATGATCCTGGACTGACACAGACATGCCAGTAAAGCTCTACAGCACTAACATTTGTACATGATTTTTTATATTTAAATTAAAAAGTTAACTAGGGCACCCTACCTGTTTCATGAAACAAGATTGCTATTTCAACGAACAATTATGATAATTATGTGGATTTATGTACAATTAGGATGAATAAGTTAATGTTATACATCTGTGGCAATAAAACTTTACTACCATTCAGAAGAAAAAAGAAGAATACATTTGTCTGGACAGTAACTGATGATTTTCCTGTTCAGAGGTGGCACTTCCACTCCATACCAACAGCAGAAATCCAGAATATGTATCTCATACTCTACTGAAGAATAATCCTTAATTCACAGTGACACCATTAGGCAAACTCAGTTATAAAGTATTCTGACAAACGTGACCAATATTTTCACATTTTGTATCACCGAACTTCCAGCTTAAACTCCAACGTATATATTTGTTCATATACACCCAGAGAGCAATGACATCTATATAAAATTCACTCACTCTCGTCTAAGGTACAAAAGCACCAACTTTCAGTGTGCACCGAGTATGAGCAGAGCACAAAGTACAGCATGAAAAAGTATCACAAATACATCTATCAGGGATCTTATGTTTATTGCCCAGCAACAGGGAAAAAAACCATAACTGAAGCTATACAGTTTAAGACAGTTGAATTTACAAAAAAACCAAGACCACAGTAGAGGAGATTGAGACAGAGGATTTGCTTATTAATATGTAGCTAGCAGCAGAAAAGCAAGTAACTCCAAGAGCATAAAACTGAAGCACCTGGACTTCCAGTTTGCATTCCCTCAATCTCCCCCCACCAGCTACCACCAAGGCAGAGCAGGAGTTCAGCAGTCTACTAAAAAAAATTGTGCAAAGGCTGCATGAACAACAACAACAAAATGAAACACAGAATCTGTAATGCTTGCCTAAAAGGAATGAAAATAATTTCATGAAGTCAGACGTGCTTCACCACTCACCTTTAGTATACTTGCTAATTAGCATTAAGCTACATCTGCCTAAAAAAAAAAGATGCAAATGTGACTAAAAGCATGGCAAACACTACTGCTTCCACTCAACATAAAGAAATCTTGATCTGTCACATGACCAGAGCCAAAAGAGCTGCTTTTTTACAACTATGTCCTACATTTTCAATACGAGAGAGAGAGACTTCAAGGCACATGGAATGATATTAACAAAGATGGTAAGCTACTGAATTAACCAAACTGCAGCATATGGAACTGCAAAGTTTTAAGAAATTAATTATAAATTATGAAAAATACTTTGCAACTCTCATCTCTAGTCTGATGAAAGACATCATGAAGTCACCTCTATCAGGTGCTTAAATGATGTTTTCCACTTTTTTTTCCCCCCAATAACTGTGACAAGACAGGAGACAACAGAAAATTCTGAGTGTGCTACCCTAAAGACAATGGTAGGTATTTTATCTAGCATTACAGATTCTCTCACACAATTTCAAATATATAAGTCCAAATAAGAATAATTTTCTTCCATGACTGGCATTCATAATATAATGTTAGCCAAATAAAAAACCCCAAGTATTCACAAACATTCTTCTTTCAATAAGATATTCAGGTCATAGGAACCATGCAAATGGAGTATTTATGCTCAACCTTTGCAACCAAGAAATACCAGTATTTCACAGAAGTGATTGATATACACTCTTAAACAGCTCCCATGTCCTTGAACTCTCATTGGACTTACAGGTTGTGTCGACTTTAAGTATGTATTTCTATGGTCCACAATAGGCAAATTTTGCTACAACAGTTGAAACACACCTAGATGCTGCTACTCAGCCAGTATATGCTAGTATATCTTGGGCTTTTTAAAAATAAAATAGGATATATACACATATTAAACCACAGTTTTCATCATCAAGACTTTGGACACAAGATTTCACTATGAAATAAAAAGTAATCATTATCTGAATATGGCTACACAAATAAGAAAGATGAAAACATCACATTGGAAATAGAAATTCTGAAGTAGTGATAGACCTCTTCAGTATTATCTAGCTTTGTAGAAGTTTCTCATACCTTTTAAGAAAGTGAAAAACATGGTACTGTAGATTTGAAATATTTTAAGAATTAAAGTAATCAGCTAAAGCACGACTAACCATAAATGCAAAAGAAAAACTCATCTACAACTATGGTAGCATTTCATGAAGTATTTTGACCTGCAGCCCATTTTAGAAGTTCAGCTTCTTTAAGAGCCACTCCACCAACCTCTAATACCCCAATTGCTGAACTGCAGCTGCTCCAACCTGGGTCCCACAGAGCATACCACAGCAGGAGTACACAAGTAGTGCCAGAGCCTGGCTGCCTGGACAAGTCTGGCATCTCTCAGCACCGCACAAGCTTGGCAACGTGTTACAGATAGCTCTTGTGCCTCCCCTGCACACAGCTCGTAAAGCTAAGGGAAAGGGGGTGATCATTTGTCATTCTAATTTCCTTGTTTTACCCATTTCTTTGATGTATCTCAAGGAAGTGTCAACAAGTCCAAAAAGGGGCCTACCAAAGGGAGTAAGAGTGTGGTCTCCTCTGTGAAGGAGAGATGAAGAACTAGCTTCATCTCTATAACTTAAGCTTGGTCAAGACAGCAGAAGTCCTGCCACAGTCCTCATACAGCACCAGAATGAAAAGCAAACCATGTGGACTAATTGCTGCCAGACAGTCATGCAACAACCACCAAACCCAAATACCAGTTCTGTGATTTTCTGCTTGTGATCCTACTGGTTGATGCAAGGCCCACCACAAGACCAAATTTCCATTGGGTTTCAAACTGAGATACTGTACCTTACAGTTTTTGGACACTTAAATTTTGTGTTATTTAGTTACTTGGCCACAACTTTGAAATTACATCATTCAAGGACTGAACATGAAAAAAAGCAGCACCTTCCATATCAGGCAGCCAACTGGTACATTGTCTCAAGTTTGTGCTAAAACATCACTGCTATAATTCACCTCTAGTACAGTCCCACTGTTGACATACTACATAAGCACGATTCTCAAAGGTAAAGTACATAAACACAGAGCATGTTTTTAAAGTTATTTGGATGGATGCAAACTGTAATGCTTTCTGATGAAAAGCCTCAAACAGATACATACTGTGAATATCCTTTTCAAGCCAACAGATAACAAAAGAAAAAAAAAAAGTCCAAACCTCTGCTTCGCTAACTAGAAGTTTCTCTTAAAACACATATACCTCTGTTCTAAGGAAATGCAAGCTGCTTCAAACAAAGCAGGTCACCCCTCTTACCTAAGACAGTGAAGTGAGGGTCCAGAGGGAAGCCACCCATTTAGTTCCACTCAGCTGAACAACTGCAGCTTCTCCTAATTCTTCATCACCCTGTAAAACATGGGTAAAGAACCATGCAGGATGGTAACAGAAAGAGTATTCGTAAAGACTGACTTCTGCCCCCTTCCTCCATTCAGCAGTTTGCATAATACAGGGAAGCAGGCTCAACCTATTAAAAAAAGGAAGCATTAACTACTTCTTACAAGAGATTCATTCATAAGAGTATTTGTGAGACAGAACACTATGGTAATATTTCATTTATAATGTAATTTTGCAACCACTAAGTTATTTTGTCATCAGTAAGTTCTGTCACTACTAGCCACAAGAAGGTGGAACTATTCAAAAATAGCAATTTAAAGTCCTGTTTGGTCATGTGTTACATTGCAAAGCACAAATCCTGGATCTCAACACTATTTGATTTTTTTTTTTATATACTTCTCCTATGAGGTTACTTTCCCAAAGAAAAGTCTCACCAGCTGGTATAGCTACTGATGCATTGCTTTGTTACAAAATATTACCTTTACACTCTATTTGCTAACTTTCTGATAACCAACCAGATACATTACACACATTACTACTCATATGAACTTGCTTTTTTCCAAACTTTCATTCAGGGGCAATACAGCCTTACGAGGCTGTCAGGCACTGTAAATACAGGAAGTCAATGCAGTAAATGTTAAGGTCAAAGTACTTAAGGTGACAAAAGTCACTTCAAGCATGCAAATTGCTTATTGCTGTTGTCTCTAGGAACCAACTATTTAAGAAAGTTTACAGCACTCTCCCGGGAGGTGGAGATTATTTTTATAAAAAGGTAAATATCATATTCAAAATTATTTGTTACAGACCCTGATAGCAAACATATTACTCATCTCCTTCCATGTACAAATCAGATTTTGATTAATGACAAAAAAACTTTCAACACTGCTTCTCTATAAAACTCATAACTACCTTAAATATACTGGATACTTCAGAAAAAGTGTAAAACATACCTCCTTTGTTTAAAAATCAGTATCAATTAATTAACTAAAGTGAAGACCTGGCCCACAGTACCAGAAATGAAGACTGACACTAGAAATTAGATATATGTCTACATACTTTAGGAATTCTCTCCTCTTGTCCCTCAGTTGCATGTTCTATTTTTAAGAATTAGTGGCTTTTACTTCAAGTGTATGAATACACTGGTGTAGGGAGGAAGAAAGACACTTCCTGCATTTAAAAAAACATGAATTCTCTCTGGACATTCACCAAGTAAACTGAAACCAAAAGTAGCAGAGGCAAAAAAAAAAAAAAAAAAAAAGTGTTTCCTGCATAGTAAAAACTAAGATGATGCATATTTACAAAAATGTAAACACTAAGTTTATTCCATGATAAGTGTCATATCATGTACTACACTAATTACTGTTTATACAAAGTGTTATATGCTTAAACATGTTCACAATTAAACATGTTTGACTATTAAAACTTGACTCAAAGATATTTCCCCCCCAATTATGTATTTGCTTAAGTAGAACCTGTGAATTCATAGAAAACTAGTGAAGAACACATCAAAAAAGCACATTCATAATGGAACAAGCATGATTTTATGCTGAGATACATATGTCATTTCATATTTCCAAAGAAGACTTTCTCCTACAAAAAGTGAAGTGTAAATAAAAAGAACCTGGTTTATTTTCTCAGGTCAGTTAGAACAGGAACAAACTCAAAGTGCTCCAACAGGGACTCTGACAAACTGAGAACATCCCTAGATGTATTTAACAAATACACAGTTTTAAACTCCTTTCACAAAAGAATCTTCATTTGCATATGTTTTTAAGCAGTGGCAGTAATTAAAAAGACTAAAATTTTTGTTTGCTCTTAAAAAAAGTTATTTGTTTTCTATTAAAAAAACCCATACAATATTAGAATTCTGAAGAGAACCTGGACTGAGAGATCTAGTCTTTGAAACTGACTGCTGTGAAAAAGTTAAAACCAAAACACGTCTGCTTTTTCAACACCACCTTTCCTTCAGTTATTTTTTTTTTTTTTTATAACACAGTCACACAACCATGCCCCTAAAAAACTCCAAACAAATCAAGCCATTTATTTTGCCATCTAGCTTGGTGCTTTTATTTCTAACTTCTTGGGAATTTATACTTAGTATCCTCAGGATACTCCAGTGAGGAGAAATAGCAAACAACTCTGGTAAATAGAAAAAGAACTTGTTAAGTCCAGTATGAAAGATTCTACATTAAATAGCAAACACTTAGAGTGGAATGGAAGGTATTCATAAAAGAGAGACGAAGTATCTGTAATACTGCATGGAAATAATTTCAATTAAAGCTGTTTTTCAGCCCTGTAAACCTAAGTAGTGGTCTAGCTTTTCTTCCAAGGTTTGTCTGTATTGACTTGACAGAACATTACTGTTACAATGACAAGTCATAAGCACTGCAAACAGCATCTGTTTTAAAAGATAAATATATGTGAGGAAAACTACCAAATATCCATCCATACCAAATTGGTAATGCACATATTTTCAATTCAACACACTTTCAAAGTTTAAAAAAATACCTTTAACTGTTTCCAGGATGAAACACACACAGTATTTCGTGCCACCACCCAAACCAAGCAGTCTGTGCAAACTATAAAGCCCATTTTCAATCAGTTTTCACTCATATCAAGAGATACCTCTCACCATTTCCATTATTCTCTCACCCAGTCACAGATGTCTAACAATGCAGTTAAACTTAGAGTGTAGCTTCTCCCTTAGCAGGGAATCTCTCTCTAACTGGTTGCTATTTGCATGAATTAAGAACTTATCTTTTGGACCTCTCCCTTTCAAACCAGTAAAAAAAACAAAAGCACACACACCCCCCCCCCCCCCCCCACACACACACCCCCGACAATACAATCACATAGGTCTTAATTCCTCAGGAAATCAAAGCTAAAAATCAGGTATAATTTCCCACTGCAGAACTTTTTGGTAGATATGCAAGAGGCATGGTAAAATTAATTTGACAAGCTGATTCTCACAGAGCCTCAGGTTTGCACAGACTCCTATTGAGGTAGGGAAGTTTCCATACAGACACAGAGGCACCATCCCTGAAATGATGTGCAAGACACAAGCTTTGTTTCAGAATTATAACATTGCTTACACAGAAGGAAACATAAACAAGTACTTCCATCAACTGGAGGAAGAAAAAAAAAAGCATAACTATAAGTCTATAGATTACAAGTTCTTGCCACTTAAAGGAGAGTTGTGGAACATGTTTTGTTTCCTAAGCAGTAGTAACTTCTGAATGACCATGTCAGATCATCTTAGACATCTGACTTACAAATCGACTGTGAACCATAACAACCCACAGCGTTCCTTTAAAAGAAATACTACAGGTACACTTAAAAACTGAAACCCGACCAGTCCCGCAGTCAGGAGTGACAGATCACATTTATCAGCAAAGCAGCCTGTTCATAGGTTAGCAGATCCAACTCTTCAGACTGGACAGAAGGTAAGACGAGCAAGTGCACATACCTACGCTGTTAAGCAGGCCCTGCACATTAGTTATGCACCCCCAGCCCCCCAATCGCCACAGATGGCCACGCCGAAGGCATCGAGGCACTCCGTGCCCACAGTTGTGCCGCTCGGCCGAGACGGGAAACTGAGGCAGGG